AATATCAATTGGGAAACGGTTCATCTTATATTAGACTACCAGAACCGATTATAAGGAAAAATGCTTGTATAAACATTAAAAATATAGATCAAAATTGCTTTTACTGGGCCATTGTAAGCGCTCTTCGGACTCCTAGCAAAAAAAGACATGCAGAACTAACCTCCTCCTATCCACACTTACTGACGTTTTAACAAACAGAAAATTTAGATAGTCCTATGCTGCTAACAAAAATTTCAAAATTTGAAAAGATGAATAACATTTCAGTCAATGTTTACGCTTTAGAATTGATCGAAACAGAAAAAAAAATCATTTTACATAGTAGTACCCAGCAAGATTAACGGAAAATAAACGGGATACGCATGTTAATTTACTTTTAGCTCAAAATAAATATTATCCGCGTTTAAATGATTATGATGCTCCTCCACCAGCGCCAGCAAATGAAGATAATGATTCAATCGGATGAAATTAAATATCACTATTGTTGGATTAAAAATCTTTCGCGTCTTATTAGTAGCCAGTTAAATAAACATCGTGAGAAAAAATTTATTTGCGATAGATGTCTGAACTATTTCCATCAGCAAAATAAATTAGTTGAACATGAAAAACTGTGTTCTAAATTTAATAAATATAAAATTAACCTTCCTAAAGAGAGCTGCGTTGAATTTAAAAACTTTACATACCAACAAAATACTCCTTTTGTTGTTTATGCAGATTTTGAATGTCAATTAGAAAATCATAAAGAAAGTAGCGTCGTAAATTTAACTAAAACCATAAAATATCAAAAACACGTTCCGTATAGTGCTGGTTTCTATGTAAAATGCAGCTATGATGATAGCCTTTCTTATTTCGAGAGCTTTCGAGGTGCAGATTGTATGGATTGGTTTGCAAATCGTATGGCTGGTGTTGCGCAATTTGTAAACTTAAAAATAAAACAAGCGTACCTATGATTGAAAAATTAGACACATGTAAGGCAACATCATGTCATATTTGCGGTAAGAGATTTTCAAAAACAAAAAAAGACATAATCGTTAGAGATCACAACCATTTCAGTGGAGAGTTCAGAGGTTACGCACACCAAGCATGCAATCTGAACTTTAGAAAATTGTTTGTTGTGCCGGTTATATTCCATAATTTAAGTGGGTACGATAGTCACTTTATGATTTCGAATTTATGTAAAAAAGGTCGCTTAAGTCTACTTCCCATCAACAAAGATAAATACATCTCCTTTACGCTGCACTCAGATGAAAATAACATTAAATTGCGGTTTATAGACTCTTTTCGATTTATGGGGGCGTCTCTTGATGAATTAGCTTCAATTTTAGCAGTATCAGAAAAGAAAATTTTACAAAGGGAATTTCAAAATTTAGATGAAGATAAATTCAATTATTAACACAGAAAGGAGTTTTCTGTTACGATTACATTGATTCGTTGAAAAAATTAAATGAAACGACTTTGCCCCCAATTGAAAAATTTTACAATAAATTAAACGATGAAAGTGTAAGTGACGAGAAGTATGCTCATGCGCAATCTGTTTGGCAACAGTTTAACATTAAAACATTAGGAGAGTATTCTGATATATATTTAAAAACAGATATTCTGCTTCTTGCCGACGTTTTTGAGCAATTGCGTAAAAAATGTTTCTCCACCTATGGTCTGGATCCTGCGTGGTACTATACAATGCCCGGATATACGTGGGACTGTATGCTCAAATACACTGGGTGTAAGTTAGAACTACTAAAGGATCTAGATATGGTGATGTTTTACGAAAATGCTATAAGAGGTGGAATTTCGGTGTGTAGCAACCGATTTTCGGAGGCCAACAATAAATATATGCCCGAATATGATCCTGAAAAGCCGTCCAAGTACCTTATGTACCTGGATGTGAATAGCTTATATGGGAAGGCTATGCAGCAACCCTTACCCTACGGAGGGTTCAAATGGGTAGATGATGTAACATCGTTTGATGTGATGTCAATACCCGACGACTCTGACGTAGGGTACGTGCTACAAGTCGATCTATCGTACCCACAAGAACTGCACGATAAACACAAAGATTTTCCGTTTGCGGCAGAACGTAGCGTACCACCCAGCGACGGCGGGGTAAAATTGCCGAAATTAATGGCAACACTTACGGATAAAAAAGAGTACACGGTTCACTATAAAAATTTAAAACAAATGCTAGCTAATGGGTTAAAGTTAACGAAAATCCATAAAATTTTACAATTTAAACAAGCAGCCTGGCTGAAACCCTACATCGAGTTGAATACTCGATGTAGAGCTGCAGCCCGGAATGATTTCGAAAAAAATCTTTTTAAATTAATGAATAATGCAGTATTCGGTAAGACCATGGAAAATATACGTAAGCACCGCGTATGTAAAATCGTTAAATCTTGGGGTGGTCGCTATGGGGCAGCAAACTTGATTTCGAGTTTTCGGTTCCACAGTCGCACAATTTTAGAGGAAAATCTGGTGGTTATCGAATTGAACAAGGCTGAAATAACGTTTAACAAACCTCTGTATGTAGGGCAGGCAATTCTAGACCTATCGAAACTAGTCATGTACGATTTTCATTACACCTATATGCTACCAAAAATGGGTGCAGAAAGGTGTAAGCTCATGTACATGGACACAGACAGTTTTATCTACGAATTGCAATGTGAGGATGCATATGAGGAGATCATTAAAGCTGATTCCAGTAAATTTGATACTTCGGATTATCCTGAAAATAACATATATAAAATACTGCGTAAGAACAAAAAGGTGCCGGGTCTAATGAAAGATGAAAATAACGGTAAAATTATGACACATTTTGTTGGACTTCGAAGCAAAATGTATAGTTACAAGGTGCAGGGTGGGAAGGTGGTTAAAAAATCTAAAGGGGTTAAGTACAATGTTGTTAAAAATAAAATTGCATTTGAGGATTATGTTGAATGTTTGAAAGAATTTAAGGAAAAAACAGCTACACAACGCTGTATCAGGTCGTATGCACACAACGTATATTCTGTTGAACAGTCAAAAATTAGTTTAAGTCCGTATGACGACAAACGTTATTTAATTCCGAACAGTTTTGACACACTTCCGTGGGGGCATTACAGTATCTTATAATAGCGTTTTTTTTTTTGTTATAGATGAATGCCCCAACATTATCAGAGTTAGCTGTTAGAAAAATTTGCGAATCAATAACATCATCAGCAGTAGAATTCATGGAGCAGTCTCCACTACCATGGAAATTAACTACGGAAATTGTGAAACAATTTCCTTTATATAAATGGCACGCTATGATTAAAGAAGCCAAAAATGATCTTGATTCTTCATATACAGGAATTAACTTTATTAGATGTCACAAAGAAATAGATCCAAATTTAATTCACACTATATTAGGAAAATCAGATTGGGGTTATGTTTTTGAAGATTATTCTAGTTACTGTCTATGGACAAGTGGATATTGGCTGGACCAATATTACCTACACGTATGTAAAAATTGTTTATCTAAATTTAAAGAAATACATAAAACTTTAAATAAACGTTTATTTGCCTGCTATGACCATTCTCACGAGGTTCACGATGCACATGACATTATTTTGAACGTATACCAAAAAAAGTATAATTGGTGTCACAGCTGCTTTAAAAGCGTAGTGTTTGAACTAAAAGACCAGGAATCTTGCAGAGATGCCTTACATGATAGGTCTAGAAATAACATCCGAATCCGATTTGATGAATCTGATGTAGACAGCGATATTGAGTTTTAAAAAAAAAACATCACAGCAAACAAATTACAAAAAAATATATAAAAAGCGTTCATCCGTCCTCCAGTTTCTCTCTATCTATTGTACTAACATTTATATATATATTTTTTTTCAAACATGTATGTAGTACTAACATTTATATATATATATATTTTTTCAAACATGTATGTAATTAGATTTAATAAATGAATATTTATAAAAAGATGTTTTATTGATTTCGTTAGATTTTTCTAGTAAGAAGAGTTCACAACAACAACAACAACAAGATGTCCTGATAGCTTGAGTCGTCAGAGGTGTGCAACATCAGAAGCAATGTTAGTGCGTGGTTGGAGTTCAAAACTTAGCGTGTTCAAAAACAAAAAAAAAAACACGCACACACATAATACTAACATTACTTCTGATGTTGTGGCGCGGTTCTTCGGGCTATCAAGACATCTTTTTGGTATTTTTGAACAAAGTGTGCACGTCACGTGCGTCACGTATCACGTCACGTGCGTCACGTATCACGTCACGTGCGTCACGTATCACGTCACGTGCGTCACGTGTCACGTCACGTACGTCACGTGTCACGTCACGTCACGTGTCACGTTACGTGACGTATATCATAATGAAACGACAGATATGCATTTTTACAAAAACTTTATTAAAATCGTTCAAGATCATTAGCGATCCTATGTCTATAGAAAAATATATGTTGTCCTAACGCTATATGTTGTAAAGTACAGCCTACGAGCTTAAATGTATACAATTTTTGAATAGCATCTGAAAACGTATAATTTTGATCATTAAAACTAGCTCGAACAATCTTAAGCGCATTATAATAATAGCTTGGAAATTCAACAGTTTCTAGCATAGACATATACGGTACTAAAAGTTCATTATTTGCTTCTAAAAGAGCGTTCACGTCCATTTCTGAGAGGTAGAAACTAATGTTGTGCTTGGTTATTTCGAGAATTTTCGTACTATCATAGATTAGTCGTCGAATTCTGCAATAGTCACCGCACTCGATTTCGACAGGATCATACTTGTCAGGAAGGTTCTTCTCCTCCTCCTGCTCCTCCGTCTCCTTCACCGTTACCACATTGAGCTGGGTGATTAATTGTTCCCACTCATAGGAACTGAAAGATAGTTTCAACCGTGATGAGTTCCACACAATTACAGCAGGAGTAAATGATCTCGCTGGGCTTAGACCGCATCCAATTTGGTATGATCCATTTGGAAACTGCGTGTACAGCAGATAATGGTCCTCGTTCTTGGCCGCTTCTTCGTACCTTTCCAGAATAGCATCCAGCTCACGGTCGTAGTTTACAGATGATTCGTGTGAGCTGCTGGTGGTGAGGTCAAACTCGCTGCAACTTGAACCACTACCACTGGTATCCATTTTTTTTTTTTACTAGCTGCCTGACTGACTGACTGACTGACTGCAACCGACTGAGAACTCACTTTTAGCAGAAACCCCCCCACCCCATACACCTAGACGATCGCATCATTGTCAATCCAACTATTATGTTTTGCATCAAGGCCAAGCCATTTGACGTACATTTTTTTACCTTTACGACGTAAAACTTTTTCAACTAAATAAACATCTGGATTGGCTGTTTTCTGTAATTCTTCGTCATAAAAGGCTCCTTTGATCGGTGCACCTTGCATATCTTCGAGCATGTACGTTGCAGGGTTGGTAATATTAATTTTAGTAACTTTAAATAATTCCGTTGTCCAGCTTGGAACGTATCCCTTGTCGAATAGCATTTTGGTTTTGCTGATGCGTACAATGTCACCAACTTTAAACTTACGCGGGCCCGCGATTTTTAAATGAGTATATTTTCGATTTAAGATACATTTTTCGTTGGATTTATTAATTTGTGATGGTTTACATCCGATGGTTTGATGACGTGTTCCATTGTATTCATTGGTAATGCTTTGTAATATATCAATCCATTTATACGATCCCATTAAGCTAAAGTATTTGTAAAGTTTATTTTTCAACGTCCTTATGGCTCTTTCAGCAATGGCCGCTTTCTTGATGCTATATGTACTATAATGATTAATATCATGCTTCTTCATTAAAGTTTGAAATTTACTATTGTAAAATTCTTTACCTTGATCAGATTGTAGATTTTTCGGCGTACGTTCCGTATGTGCGAGGATATCCGAAAACGCACGAGTTATCTCCTCACCCGTCTTTGTCTTTAACGGTCTAGTCCACATAAACTTGGAAAAAGAATCGATTACGACGAGAATTAATTTGAAATTTTTATTTTGATGAGCATAAGGTCGCATTTCAGCCAAGTCCGTCTGCCATAAATCGTCTAAGCCTTTAATGATGGTACGTCGTCTTAGATAATTTTTTCGAGCAGGCTTGTGCAGCTCGTTAACTAGTTGTAGCTTCTCCTTGGCGTACGTCATCATGTTTTAACGCTTTAAATTGTTGTTCCATCGGCTTTATACGCTTAGCAAGATCGAATGTTTTCAATGATATATATGATGTGCGTCCTTGCAAAAGTTGTAATTCATTCAATGATATTTTTCCTTATTGGAGTCAAATCGGTATGAGACTTAATTGTAGCCAACTCCTGTTCTATTCTTGTTGTTATATTTGCAATAGAGTCATCTACATATTTTTTTGTTGCCATATGTTTACCAGAAGTAGGCGGATTTCTCGAAATAAACTCTGTTATTTGATCTGTTTTTGCTGTTATTTTTTTTAAATCAATCACTGAAGTATCTACGTATTTTTTAGTTGCCGCATCTGAATTATCTGTGGGATCTTTTATATTACACAACTTTACGTTCTTGAAGTCAACATTTCCATCAGAAGTATGGGGTAGTGTTAACTTTGGCGGTGTACGCATATACGGAAGTGTCTTTTGTTTATCAAAGCGACGTCCGAATTTATCAAGACTCATCGTGTAAATGAAAGACCAAGGAACTAGATTACTGTATTATATTAGCTTCTTTTAGCTCGTTGAGGATGGCTACTATTTCATTATCATGCGACGTATTGCCAGCTTCCTGAGATGCCATAAGGAGTTTAAGTCGATCGATTAATTCATTGGGATCATCCCAGTACACGTATTCGATTGGTTCCTCGTTGTATGTCAAGTAATCACCGATACCTTTTCCTGTTGGCGGTTTTGATGTTGATGATGTTGTTGTTGTTGTTGTTGTTGAGGGAGTGGATCTTGTTAATGATCGACTAAGTGGACTACGTATTTTTGTAGATGTTGATCGTGTGACAATTGTACCTTTATTTTTCTGCACATCTTTAAAGAGAGGCTTAATAATGTGATTATATTTAAATCCTGTCGAACCTTTTAGGCGTCCAAGCGAATCTAAATGAACACCGGTACTTTGCAATAGATTTTTATAGGGTTGTAAATCTGCATCTGCATAGTTTGGGTCATTATAGAATAAAAGTTGATACAGCCCAGGTGTGCCACGAAACCATGTACCTGCTAAGTTTGTCCCCTCAGGTAATATCTGTATTTGGCCAGTCGCTCTATCAAATTTAATTCGGCGTTTACCTAACATCCAACCAATGTTGTCGGTATATATAGGTCCATAATTTTTATCAATTTTATCGTTTTGTGTCCAAAAATCTTGTAAATAATTATGGCTTATTGGGGGATATTGATCTAAGTATTCTTCTATTGCTTCTTGTGAAAAATCAGCAGGACGCATTTCTTCAGGTAGTGGTGGTGTTTCAGGTCTCGGCGGTATATTACCTTGTTCATCAGTTGAAGCCACGTCTTCTAAATTGAGATAGTTTGGGTTCTGTGTGAATACATCATCATCATCATCATCATCATCCTGTTTCAATTTTTCCTCTTTTTTAATAATAAATGAAGGATGCTGCTGAGTCTTAGCTATTTGCTTAAGAGGTTCAGATATTGGTTTGAAAAGTTTTCTAATAGATTCATCTTCTGCAGTTCGACCTAACTTTAAAGTAAGATACTTTTTACGTATAGCTCGAGCAAGTTCTGCGATCTTTCTTTTATGACTAGCAACGGCAACTTGGTCCTTTGACATCATGTTACTGAATGATGGCGTACATGATAAGCCTACAATTTTATGTACTTATCAAATCCTACTCTGTATCGACCATAATTAAGAGGAAAGTCTTTAACAATAACTAACGTACCGTACTTTTCTGCCCAACATTCCGAACACATCTTTTTGAATTCATCAAAAGTAACATCTGGAGATACATGCTCATCAAATATATGTTTTAGATTAATTTCATCCTGCTTAAATAGTACTATAATGTTACAGTTGTCTCGTATGAGCTGTTTTGGAATTTTAGAGTATGTTTGGCAGAGATATGCAGCATCGATATCTTTATGACGACACATGGAGTAATACTCTCGAATTTTCTGCTGACCGTCACACGACACGTCGTCAAATATAAATATAGAGCTATTTTTAGCCTTACTTGGACTTATAATTTCCTCGTTATCCTTAAATGGGAAATAGCCAACACCCTTAGCAGCGGAAATCACTTCTTGAAGCAGTTGATACTTTGGTTGATACAACGATTTTGAATAAACGTAAACATTTTTAAACTTAGCACCGTTTGGATGGAAAAGCAGCGCCAGCATTACGTTCGTTTTTCCACATCCGCTTGGTCCGCAGATGATAGCGCGAAACGAATTCGGTAACAATTTACCATGTTTACTATGTTGAGTTTTTGCTGTAAAATCCAAGTTATCAATGGGTAATGACTGCTCTTGTTGAACAACCTTCATCGTGTGGCGTTCGAATAAGGAATGTGTAAAAGTATATATGTAGATATTGCTAACGCATCATCAACAGTTCTCATGTTAACGTACAAGGGTGAAGGTGTTGTAAACTCTCTGATAAATAATCTTCCGATAGAACTCCACGTACCTTCGTATCAGTTCCTGGGACGTAAGTGTGCGACAGATTAGGATATTTTTTTTTTTCATTCTCACACATGTATATGTATATTTTCAGCGGGGACTAAATTAAAGAAGAGGTTAGCACGAGGAGATCCTGGAAAGAACCCATTGGATCGTGCTGCAAGAGACCACGATATTGCATACGCCTTATACAAAAATTTGAAAGACAGGCACAAAGCTGATTGGATTCTTGAGAACCGAGCCTGGGAACGTGTAAAAGCACCTGACGCTTCACTAGGAGAAAAGACTGCAGCTTGGCTAACAACTACCGCAATGAAAGTTAAGCGAAAATTGGGTATGGGGCAGAAGAAATCATCTTTTCGACGAGGTGTTCTCACGAAAATCACAAAGTCCTTGAAGAAAAATGCTCCCACCACCACGACATTAAAAAAGTCTGCATTGGTTGCTCTTAAAGCGGCAAGATTAGCGGTGAAGAGTGCAGGTGGAAAACATAAAGTTCGACTACCGAGAATAATTCCGATCGAAGGAAAATCTGGGGGATTCCTACCCTTGATCCCCCTTTTCGCCGGATTAAGTGCCTTGGGGGCGCTCGTAGGGGGAGCTGCAGGTGTGGCCAAAACGGTCGTTGATGCCAAGAATGCACAAAAGAAATTGGAGGAAGACCATCGCCATAACAAAGCTATGGAGTCTTTGGGCAAAGGATTGTATTTGAGAAAAAATGCTAAAGGTGGTTATGGGTTGTACCTCAAAAAAAAAAGTCAAAAAAACTAAACATCAAGCTACCCAAGAAAGCGCTTTATGATTATGAAATAAAGCAATATGCGAAGCTCTTGAACATACCTCATTTCCGAGGTGTCTTCATGCGTGACACTTTACCACGAGACGGTCCACGTAAAAGAGAATGCGCCGTCGTGAACTTAGATATTTCACAAAACAACGGAACTCATTGGGTAGCTTATAAAAAGATAAACAACAACGTTGAGTATTTCGATTCATTTGGTAACCTGAAGCCTCCACAGGAACTTGTTCGATATCTGAAAAACGCTAAAATTTTCTACAACAACGATCCTTACCAAACTTATAATCAAGTTAATTGCGGACAATTGTGTTTGAAATTTCTAAACAATAACAACAACAACAACGATGGATAATAAAACATTATCGGAATTTACATTAGAAGAGTTTGAGAAGAATATTCCGCCGCTGGAATATTTAATAAGCAATGTGAGACCTGCAGAATTATTGAGTATATGGCACAAACTGCCTGCAGAATACACATCCAATTTTGATCTTCAAATACGACTTCCATGCTATGTTCACTACAACAGACCTGATTGGACAACACATTGGGATGGACCGGCTACTGCTCAAGCAAATTGTTATTTCTGTAAATTATCCATTCGAAAATAAACAAAAAAAAAAACTTGAATAAATGCTTAGTACACAGC